AAAGGGGGGCGGGGAGGCTGGGAGACATAAAACTTGTGATCTAGCCTCGAACTTTTCACTGATTAACTGTGTGAGTTCAAGAAAGTTGCTTAATCTTTGGATTCCATTTCTTTATTTGAAAAACCAGAGACTAGACTAAAATCTTTAGAGCTTCCTACCCTCCACAGATAACACATTCATATTCTCATTCTCTCCCTTTCTGCCTTCCCCCCACCTCTCTCTCTACATATCTCTCTCTCTCCCCCTCCTTCCCCTAAATTCTCTCTCCTTCCCTACCCCACTCTCTCAAAATTCAGAATTTCTATGATCTTTTAGTCTTAACTACCAAACCTTCATATCTACCAAGTTAGGCAGAGTTGACCTTTTTTTTCTTTCTCAATTTCTCAAAACTGTTTCCTTTCCATTTCTCCTGCTGCCACCTAGTTCATATTTGTCTTTGTTCGGGCATAGCATCTCCATAACTTTTCGGTATTCCTGTTTTCTGGTCCCCATACTATTTAGCCTATACACTGCAATCAAATTAACCTCATTAAAACTTCTTTGTAATATCATTCCCCAGTTTGCAAATATTCGGTGTTTCTCCTCAGGTTGCTGATTAAGTATGTTCTTCTTAGCCTTGTATTAAAGACCTTCGATATTCCGACTTCTACCTACTTTCCTAATTTAATCTCCCAATCTTACTTCCTATTTTAAACCAAAAAAAAGTATACTTTCCACAGGCTTGAAACAACCCAACTGTCCTGAGCTGATGAAACCTAGTGGTTCAGACTCTAACTTATAACATCTCCACTCCTTCCCTTTTAAAAGATAATGCAAATATTACTATTTTATTTTCTCTTGTCCTTCATTCCTCACATACAATTTAGTTATTTTCACCTTTTTCTTCGACATATATTTCCTTCTCTTCTTAACCCTTGTCTCATTAAAATTATCCTCTCTGTCTTTGTAAACCAATGTAAGCCCTAGTCATGGTTTATCTATGTTCTCTCCACACAAAGGAAAAAGACAATTCATAATCAAATGAAAACAGGATTAAAGAAGTATTGATGATAAACCAACCAACCCTTTTCCTAAAGATAACATGGCATGCTTAGGTCTCAGGTCTCTTTTCTCACCATTTATCACACCACAATCAAGTCACAACTAATGCTTAATCCTTAAAATTGACAAGTAATTAAGGTCTCTACAACCGGCTTTACACATGTCATTTCCTCTCCTTGAATTAGTCCCTCCTGATTCACTCTTCCCTCAGCTCTCACCCCATCCTAATATCTACCTACCCCAGCTCACTAAGGTGACATGATGAACTACCCTGACCCTGATGGATCTCTCATCGCACTGGATATAGCTGAATGTTTATCTGTTCTTCTCCTCTACTGCACTGTGAGCTCCTTGAGGGCAGGAAAGATGATTTGTTCATAGTCAGCTGTGTCTGGCCCAGTCAATGTTTGGCGCAGAGGAGATCCACAGGCGCTGGGTTCATAAATGAACAGATGGATGAGGATTAAGAATGGTAGGCAGGACTGAAGGAGGGGAAGGAAGAAAAGAAGGGATAATGTGGGATAATAATACATTCATCACTCCAAAATTAACAGAAAATCCAGGTGCAACCACCAGGCCAGTAACAACACTGCAGATGGCTGCCCTGGAGATGGTTCTAATTTCCAGCAGCTCAGAAAGAGGTCACCACCCATCTCAAAATGCTTCCAAATTGGCTAGAGGCAATGCCAGATCAGTGTCTGTACTGTAGGGCTTATTATGAAACTCTTTACTTGAATATTCCATGAAGGATGAAGATTAAATAATGACTGATTTTCCTAAGTGGTTTGTAGATGACATTTAATTAAAGATTTATCTCCACATATATAATAAAGTTTGGAATTAAGCGAAAATGTTGGCAATACACTTAAATCCGGGACTTAAAAGGTAATTTTTAAAATACTTTAAAATGTGAAATATACTGATTCTTTATCTGATTAAATATATTTTCAAAATAAAAAGTTCCTCTTAGATATGAGAAAATGGCAACTTTCTGATCTTAGTTAAATGAGTTCCCAGCATCACTCATTTCAAACACTCCTTTCCAGTGCCTAACGATAAACTAACACTTGCAAATTCAACAATTAAGTAAGACAAAAAGATATAATTTGGCTTCATCATCTATATAAGTTGGTCAAAAGAGAGCTAACCTACTGCAATTTCCCACTCATAAAGATTAAACACGCACCTAAGCTTTATGGCTTCCAGCTACTGTATCAGGTCCTCAAGGCCACAAATTAGGCCACCGAGACAACATTTAATGCACAATAATGCACTAATTTGATTCAGTTTCTGACTTTATGAGAAATCAGCCAAACCTGGGTGAGGGAAAAAAGTGGCAGTGGACTTGATAAGGGAGATAAAACATACTCGGTAAGATCCCTTTCACCTAGAATATTCAAAGACACAACTGCTCAAAGGTGGCTCAAGAGCTAAGTCTAAACACATACACTAAAAAGATGGGGGATCAAAGGAATGAAAAGTGTTAGTTTGCACCGAATTTTTAGATTCCTCTTTTGGCACCTGCCCATAACATGGATTTAAATGATCTAACATAAGAACCCACAGGGGGTACTTCTAATGATTAATTAAAAGATACAAATGAAAATACAGTTGGCCTGAATGATTTTATTTAGTTCTTTAACAATCTCACTTCCTTTCAGAGTGACAAAAAATTTGGCTCATTTAAGATGTTCAGTTTTTCAAGAAACGGGTACACAAATGCACACTTTATTCAAATCAAACTTCAAACTTGTCAAATGTCACATCTGGCATAACAGTTATATCAACTGTTTTTAAAATTATGTTACCTTTTAAGTATTTTCACATTCATTTTAAAGCTTAAATATATAACAAGAAAAAGTGAATAATAATTATAATTGTGGAACCAGAGCGGTCCTTCTAAAACACAAAGACAAAGCCAAATATCGGAATTAATCTATCTAATTCAAGAAACAAATTTTCATGAGTAACTGTAATAACTGGATCAGCTGAAAAACCACAACTCTATAAGTAAGATAGAAAAACACGTTTTAACACGTGCATATATCTTAAACCTACTGAAACCTGTCTCTGAATATATGAAGACTTAAGAATCTGATTTTATAAAAATATATAAATAACGAGATAATTTGCTTTTTAAAACTTCTCCAATTATAAGTCATTGTAAATATCCAGTTTTTTTAAAAAAAAAAATCTACCAAGCACCAGAGTTGCTTAACAAAAGCCACTTAATGAAATCATAGCTCAGTCGCATGAAAAAAAAAAAAAAAACTTTGTATAGAAAATATTTATGAGTTTACTTTCCTAATGCATACAATTGCGTCCTTGTTTTCAAAGCCGTGCAATTCACATCACTGGGAACAAAAAATCTTAGAGACGACAGAAAGTTAGCTTCCTAGAAGAAAGCACTTTGGGTAAGAGCACTGAAGAACTAGAATCTCTTTAAAAACATCTCACGAGTTTCTCTTTCAGGAAATATAGAAACAAACTGATAAACAGCACATCGTGCAACTATGTAGCCCTGCAATTTATCAATCGCACCCATTCTATCTGCATTCAACCAGTTAGTAATTAAACCTCAGAGCAGCACTCCTTCGGGGCGCAAAACATCTGGGAGAACTCTGCGACTCCATTTCAAAGATGCCATCTCTTGACTACTGGCCTCTTTTCACCTCACCTCCGCTGTGGATACTATTTCATAAATGGTAAGAATGAACCTAGCAGCGAGATCAATTAAAAATCAGTTAAGTCCTTAGCAGGCTCGAGTGTTACCAGAGAGAGGGGCGTGAAGCGCGTTGGGGATGTTTCCCAGGTCCAGCGCGCAGCGGAAGTCCTCGCCCCGGGGCCGCCCGGTAGCTCCGCGCGGCGGCGCCGCTTTGATTTCCAGCAATGGCTCCAAGACCAGAGCCGTGCGGCGGGGGCTGCCGCCGCCGCCGCCGCCTGCAGCCAGCTCGCAGCAGCACCCAGCTCGCTGAT